TTAAAAGGATATGAGGAAAAAAAAAGAGTTACCAAATGATCAGGTTTCTTGAAGGAGGAAAGAGAATAGAAGTGCCAACCAAAGACTTATCCAGACAACTGTTTATTTTTTCTCTCAGCCAGAAAAACAGATCACGTGATCACAGAAGGAAAAGGAAGAGGCTGGAGGGCAGGAAGACAGTGAAGACATAGGAAATAGAAGGGTTTATAATTACTTTAAAAGAAAGCGTGGAAAACCTGTCAGTTCCTTTTGCACATCCATCCCACCTCTTTCTCTTTGTTTTCTTTCCAAGTGAAACTTAACCCCTTCCTTTGGTAGAACCCTAACTCACCAGTAAGCTATTCCTTTTATCTCAGTCTTACAACTTGGCTCACACTTGCCCTTGTGGCTGACCCATGTCATTCCTGTTATCATGGCCTGTATATGTAGTCATAAAATTGCAGTCTAATGGGGATAATGGCAAGAGATTTTTTTTTTTTGTACCAGTGATTGAACCCAGGGGTGTTTAACCACTGAGCCACATCCCCAGCTCTTTTCTGTATTTTAGAGACAGGCTCTCACTGAGGACCTTACTAAGTTGCTGAGGCTGGCTTTGAACTTGCGATCCTTCTGCTTCAGCCTCCTGAGCCTGTTGGGATTAAAGAGAATGTTTCTAACATTCAAAAAGTTTGGTACATGTCTTGATAGTTAAAGAAAAAAATAGGGTAGTTACAGGGCCTCAGACAAGTCACTTAAACTCTAATCTCCTGTGTCCTATTTTGAAAAATGATGACTTTTACCATGGTATATTGACAGTATATTCCAACTTAAAAATGCTATGATTCTAAAATTGGGCAATTGAGAATTTTATAAAAAGGTAAACAGTGACCATTAGGAAGTGTTGTGGGAAGTCACAGAGCCAGAGAGGTGGGTCCCTGTCTTGGCTTCTTATATGGCAATATTGTATTGGTACCCAAGTTGTTTGAACTGAATAAGTCTTAATTTTGACTGCTCCTTCATGGATAGCTTTAAAATTCTCACAGGATTGTTGTAAAAACCACATGAGGTGAAATAACCAGCACAAATATGGCACAGAATGGTTGCCTAACGAGGATTATGATTTTATTCTTTAGATTACTTTTGTTCATTTATATTGACTTAAAAAAAAGTTAGCACACATTTAATGAATCTTTCCCATGAACCAGACATTAAGACATGGATTAATATATCTAACCCCATAAAAACCCATGAGATAGGTATTATTTTTATTCCTATGTTCTAATTGGGGAAACTGAGTCATGGAGTGGTTCAGTTATTTGTTCAAGGTATCTCATAAGAGTAAATAACTAAACTGAAGTTGAAATCTGGACTGGTTAGTTCCACAGCCTGTGCTTTTAACTAGTTGCTGTATATTTATGAAATAATTCTTAATCAAAACTGTGCTTGATACAAATTATATATGATATAAAGCTTAGCTAGATATGGCTTTCAGATATAATTTCTCATATAACTTTAGACTTTTGTAAAATGCCCCATTTGTCAGTAATCACTAACAGAAGGGCACAGCTCCCAGAGTGGTCCTTCAGTCTGTCAGAAACATTTGATGATAGTGCAGTAGTTACTGTATTTGAAAAGAAGAATGTTGATTGGTTTTGTACACTTGGTCAAAGAAATACTTTGATGTTTGAAACTTTCTTGATGCATTTCCTTATCCCAAAAGAGAAAAGAATAGATCCATCAAAAGTCACAAATATATTTGAAAAGATAATTCTGATCATGGGTTAATGAACATGGGTTATTATACTCTTATAATTTAGTAAACTAAAACTTGAATCATTGAAATTAATAGGTTGGTAAAAGTCTCAACTACCATGGTGTACTTATGTAATTAAATCTTTATCTTTGATGCCAGTATTTGAAATATGCTGCCATCATGGAAACCTAGATTTCTCACCAAGAAAGTGAATAGTTATCATCATCATTATTAGCCATTACTTGACCATACTTTGTATTCACTGTTTTTAATGCAATGAGCAGCAAACATTAATTTTTTTTTTAAAAAAACTATCAGTTTCTATTATGAGATCATTAGTTATTATCAGTGTGTCTAATGAAGTGAATGTTTGACCACCTAACTAGGATATTAGGGTATTTTTTTCAGATATACAAAAGGAATATTAAATTTATGGGTCAGACTTTTATTTATACAATTACATAAATAAAAAGGAGTTTTTTTTTTCCTGGGAAAATGATGACTGATTTTAAATATTCTGTTTTCAGGATACCAATAGGCATTTGGAAACATAAGTATAGAGCTCAAGAGTTATGGTTGTACCTAGAGATGCAAATTTCTTTCTTTGTTCCTTTCTCTTTCTCTCCTGCTCCCTCTCTTTCTTGTATCTCTCCCTCCTTCAACCCACAGAGGTACTAAACATATAGGGAGTGTAGGAGGAGGAGTGGCACTGAGGCGTATATTTATAGGAGAGAAAAAATCAGAAATGAGAATGTCAGGGTGCCTGGGGAGGACAGTGGAAGGAGAGTTTGCAGTCCTAGTGGTGGAGTGTTTCTGAATGGAGAGAAGTCTGAGTTGGGGATCTCCCAGAGGTTTGCTGGGAAGTAAGTAGCCTTGGTGATGAATATCACTGGGACTGAGACTGTCATGGAACCAGATGCATCAGTAAACTGGCCTCTGAATAGCCAGAGGAGTGTTATTTAGTAGAGACTTGTGCCTGGACTGATTCAGAGCTCTTAAGAAATAGACACAGAAAGCCAAAGGTAGCTTAGAGGTAATAGTTGCCCTAAGTTGCCTCACTAGTTGCCAAGAGCTTCAGGCCTGAGTAGTTAATGACAAATTAGCAATGGCATCTACATCACAGCTTCTTAGATCTGTCCACAATTTACTGTTTTATCCAAAGTCAAGGACTTCACCATTTGGATTTAGCTTAGCCTGAAATATGACCAAGTATGAAAAATTAACATTGGATATTCAACAATGAAATTCAATAAAAGTTGATGTTTATCATCCTTTATTTTTGATGTACTAGTCACTGTGAAAAGGGCTTTACAAATTCACAGAATTTTCATGAGTCCTTAATTGTGTAACATCCTTAGCTCCACATGCAGACAAGGATGTAACCTCTCCCAGGGGCTCAGAGAGGTTCTATAACTTGTTCCAGGTTATAGTGCCAGGGTGGAGAAAGCCAGTATTAAAAGGTTGATCTGTGTGACCTCTAAGTTACACATACTCTGTCAAGGCACATCAAGAACATATTTGCTTGTAAGTTCTGAGTAATATATAATAAAACAAAAAGATGATTTCAGGTGACTGACATGTAAGGGAAAATTTGTTTTGAAATCTGTTGATTAATTAGGAAGAAGTAAAGGTTTGTCATCAGATTAAATATTTTTATTCATGAACATTTCATCTCACCTCATCACTCTTTTTATGAATCTTTGTCTTTTCTCCATGGAAACTTTAGAAGCAAATTCCTGCTATGGCTAATGATAAATAATGTGAATGCTGACACTGACTTTTCTGAATAAAATGAATTAGGAGATGCTAGCAGGTAAAGGTTTTCATATTACTTGAAAATTGAACTGAGTTTTTGGTTTGATTATCCTTTTATCTTAAATTTCTATTCTTTTTTGTTTGAGAGGCTCCATTTCAATGGACAAACTCACAGTCACATGAGAAGCTGTTTTAAAAGGAAACTCTTTGATAGTTCAAGCAGTTGGAATCTGTTTTGACTTCTTTCTGAGGTTTAGGGTGACTGCTGATGACCAAAATGTGCTATTGGGACGTTATATGATAGCATCCAGGCCTGACTTAATTATCTAAACAGATTGCTTGTCTTTTCTACCAGCTATTCCTGTTTCCCTATTTTGTTTGTGTTATTACACTTCATGAACAACAGACACATCTGGATATTTCAATAGCATATGCATGATATGAAGAAATTATCATAGTGAAAATACTGTTTGGTTTCTGAACTCTATATTCCCATTTTTTTTGTTATCCTAAATGATGGAAACACGTGTTCCTTGTCTGTTTAGGTACTAAAAAGTCATCCAATAACATAGATACGACATCCTTTTATCATATTTACCTTGGTATGTCCTTCATTGATAAATAATCAGAGATTTCTTCTTTCCTCAGAGTGTCACTGATCTTACCAGAATTTCCTTTGCCAAAGGCACTGGCATTCTATTGTTTTGTCTAGTGAAATTCTCAAAGATAAAAGCTTATTGATATTATTATAGACAAAAATAAAAAGGCTTCATTACCACCAAGATCTGAAAAGAAAAGCAATATTGACAGTTAACATCTTCCACTGAAAAAACTTTATTTATTGTGTCTGTATTATTGGACTTTTTTTTTGCAAGGTCTTTTATACATTTTAAGGAAAACTGACTGCAAATTATTCCGTTCATTCATTCGTAGATACTCGTCAGGTACTTAATACTAGGCCCATTTTTACTAGAGATACACAATCCATGGCTTAATGAAGTGGAAAAATAATTCTTGTCCTAATGGAGTTTAAACTCTCTTGGGGGGAGTCAGACAATAGAACAATAACTAAAATACATAATGTTAGATAATCATAAGAGTTATGTAGAAAGACAAAATAGAAAAGGCAAAAAGAATGCTGTTTCATAATTTTAATAAAAATACTTCTCTTAGATTTCTCCTTAAATAAGTGTTTTTGACAAATGTATATGCATTTTCCCCATTGTACACAAGATATAGCTTTGATATATTCACCCACTTAATTATGCTCTTATACTATATCCTACTTTTTAAAAATTATGTCAACCAACTCCTGTTGTCATGTTAATGTGTATCACAAAAGCAGTAAGTAGGATTTGATAGATGCATAGTCCACTGATATATATATATATATATATATATATATATATATATATATATATAGAGAGAGAGAGAGAGAGAGAGAGAGAGAGAGTCTTCAGACCTTACATATGGTTATTCCATTAGTAATCACTACTATTGCTAGTTATTGGATTGCTAAAATTGTTTTCTTTTATATTTACTATGCTTGTCAAACTCATGATTAAAAATGGTCATGAGCTAAAAACACTTGAATTTATACAACATTTTTATGTTAATATTACTGAATCAATGTGTATGAAATGGTTTTCTTGGGATTAAATTGCAATTTTCAGTTGTGATTTTTATGCTCAAGATGGAAAACACACTTGGTTGTCTAGCAATAAAAACTAAAAAAATAAACACATCTTCTACTCAGATACTCAGACAGTGATACTCTTATAAGTTCAGAAAAGCCTAGTACCAAGTGTTGTTAGGCAGTCACTGCTTTCTTTGATCCACTTCCATGATAAGTTGATGCTGTCATACACTGCTTACTTTTCTGTATAATCACTTTTCAATCATTAACATGTAACATCTGCATTCAAGCCTTCTCATAGGAAATTATTTTGAAGTCACTGCTCCAAAATGCTTATGAAAAGTTAAAGTAACATAAAGGAGATTTGCAGAGAATTCCTTAATGGAGATACAAATTTCATCTCTATAGATTGGGAATTATGAACCTAAAGGACTAGAGAGGCCAAGAGAGTAGCAAAATAGAATGAAAATAACTATGTAACCTGTGGAATGCTGAAGAGCAAGTGCCAGTCTAAGGAACAATCATTCCTTAGCTGCACAAAACACTTGTACAGTAGATTCCTGTAAGCAGATGACCAGTGTTCAATCCCATATTTAAAGACACCATCATCTCACTGATTAGCATGGGCTGGCAAGAGATTATATACCCAAAGCACATTATTTTAATACCACTTAAAATATAATTTTGAATTGTGATATATTGTGAATCTAGTAGTCTACATGGAGGAAATTAAAAAACTAAATGTTTATGAAGCATGTGATTCTATTTAGTATATTTGCATATCACGTAATGTACACCTGCCTATGAAGACCCCTTGGGAGAAATTTCTGTCTGTCCTTTGGAACAAAATTGTTGTATTTATACTGTGAACAAATGGGTCACTGTATATTAAAAGTAAAATATGTAGATTTGGAAGCCATCATTCTATACCAGGAGCTGGTAACTTTTTACATGTATATTTCAGATAACCATATGCCTCTATATGTGTCTTTGAGCTATATCTTGCGTGCAAAATTTAATCTAAATTCATGACCAAGCTCTAGCAAATTGTCTTCATCTTCCAATATATATTTTGTCTTCAACTTATTCTTTATTTTTATTTCCTCTTGAGTCATTTCTTCATCAATCTGCTTTATTTTTTTTGGTACTTTATAGTTATACATAGTAGAAGGACTCCTTGTTACATTTCATACCTATACACAATATTACAATACACTTTGGTCAGTCTATTCCCCAGTATCTTCCCTTTCTCTCTTCTTGTCCCTCCCTGGTCCAAAATTTTATTTATAATATATATACACACACATACATACATAAAACTATTGAGTTTTATTCACCTTAAAGAAGAATGAAATTATGTCATTTGCAGGAAAATGGATGGACCTTGAGAGCATTATGTAAAGCTAAGTAAGCCAAACTCAGAAAGTCAGAGGTTGTATATTTTCTCTTGTATGTGGAAGCTATAGAGAAAAAAGGAAAATAAAATGCATGAAGAGTAAGGGATAATCCCAGGGGATCCATTTCCTTTAACATTTTTATTACCTTGTAATTTAACTTGTTTTATTATATATAAGTATGTAGACAATCTTAGAACTTTGGGGAGTGGGCAGGATTAAAGATACAGGAATAAGCAACTTTCAAAAACTAATCATCAAAACTTTTCTTTTTATGATGGCATTGCTCATGAGGTACATGGCAAATGCCAATCTGTTTGTTAATAGACATAACTGAATGATGATAGCAAAATCTGTACATTTTTATGTAGATTGAAGATATTTTTACATGTGTTGTGGATTAATATGTGGTACTTTATGATAAAATGGTTGTTCACTTTCTAAATTTAGTGCTAGGAGCAGATTATAAACAGAGGTTTATCCTTTGTGAGTATGCATGATTGCCATGAGTACATGGCACCTTTGTATGATTTAAGACAAAGGGTTCTGTCTTCCAGAGAGCACAGACTAAGGTCAGAACTTGGTAAGGATTATAGCCCCAGTTCCCTCAGGCCAGGAGTTACTAAGTTTTGGGGAAGGCACAACCAGTGGGACCATTTACAGAACCCTATTAATATGTTACATGTAAATTTCATCTGCCATATGTGCCCGACCAAGGAAAAGAAGATTGAGAGTTGAGAGGGTAAATTCTAGGTTGGTGATACTTTATAAACATGAAAACAGAAATAAGCAGCTCTGCATGGACATGAAAGATAACAAAATAATGTCGATGTGTGTTTAATTATAAACATCTTGCTAAGTGAAATAAGCTGGTCCCAAAAAGCCAAGTTAATGTTTTCTTTTTGATATGTGGAAGCTACCCCAAAATAAGGCAGGGGGTGAGGGTAAGAATAGAAGTTCAGTAGATTAGACAACAGGAATGGAGGGAAGGGAGCAGGAATAGAAAAAGGAAAGACAGTATAATGAATCTGACATAATTTCCCAGCTGACATATATGAAAACAATTCAGTGAAACCCACCATGATGATATCCACAAGAATGGGAACTTAAGTAGAATAAGGTATATTCCATGTTTTGTATAATTATATCAAAATAAATTCTACTGTCATGAATACCTAAAAAAATAATTAAAAAATAATAAATAATAATAATAATAACACATTTTTTAATATTTTGGATGCATATTAAACTTCCTGTATTTAATAGGAGGAGTTTTTCATGTGTCTAAACTATTTTAAAAGTTCTCCATTTTGGCAGATCCCAGACTTTTTGAGACATTAATGAAAACTATGATCCCTCTGTAGGAAAATACACAAAGATATAACCATGCAACCTATACCTGGAGTCTCTGAAAGTTACCAGATTTTAGGTGACAGTCTCCAGCTCTTGACTAAGGAGACCTCATTTATTCAACTATATTTGCTCAGTAGAAAGGTAATAACCTCCTCATAAAGGTCTGTCACTGTTCCTACCTTTTGCCTCCAAACCCACAAGCTCCAGGCTCACTAAAGCATGTTTTGTTGTGCTCGAAAACAGGGCTTCTGAATAAATCTAAGGCAGTAGCAGAGAATTTTACAGTATTTACGTAATGATTAATAGGCACGAATGTGAAGAGCCTTTTTCTTGTACATCCAGCTCAATAGCTCAGATTCTTACCATATTTTGATGTCTTAGCATATGTTTAATAGAAAAAGGAGGATTACTTAAACCATTATGCTTTTAGGTAGTGAAATATCGTATGCTCTTTTAAAATGATGTTTGAAAGTAATTAGTAATTACCTAGAAAAATGTGTGATTTTATTGCTTAGATAATAAAGCAGACTAGAAAAAAGTTCAAGTTGTGTAATTGCAACTTAAAAATATAACACATGGAGGGAAAAGATGAGTAGGTACAGCATTGGAATAATTAGTGATTCTCTTTAGGGAAATCCTTTCCTTGAAAAGGATTTCTTTTCTTCCTTTCTTTCTATTTGTTACAGTTTTATTTTGCAGATTGTTATAATTAACATTTATTATTTTGTATTAACAATGAGAAAAGCACTTTATTTGTAAAATATAGAAAATAGCTTTCTGTAAAAAGAAATTGTATATATTAGTCTACTGGAAAATTATGTTCAAGCAATGATGCTTAGTCCTTACTAATAAACATTCATGTGATCATGTAACACCAAATATTCTCTTTGGGACTGAGAAACTGTATAGTTTGTTTAGTGATTACTGACAGTGGATGTTTCAAATGGCTAAATCAAGTTGTGGCATATAATATGTGTGTTGGAATTTATAATTTTCTTAAATTACTAATAAAAGCACATTTTGTTAACCTTGAAAATGTGAAATTTTTAAAAGTTAGGTACAAGCTTTGTTCCACTCTCTCTATAAGAATATTATTGGCACCCATTCTTAAATTGCATTTGGTAATGACACTTTTGTGGCAGTTGGTCACATTTCTTATTTCCGCTACAAGTATCAGTTTGGGATGGATGTGCCTAACCACTGAGATTTGTGGTTTGGGGTTGAAACTTTGTTAAGATACTGAAAACTCTCACCCAGAGTGTATGAATTAAATTTTTGGCTTCTACCTATGAGTTGTGTGAAACCAATACTAAAATAACATCTCAAGAGCTTTAAAATCAACGATTCCAGTAAAATGGACATATTCCACAACAAACTTCTCTGAAGCTTGTGTATACTTGGTTGGATCACTGATGACTGCCAAAGAACTTAAAATTATTCTACATTGCTCATTGGTAGGAGTTAATATGGGCAGCTGTGCCACCATATTGCACAATTCCATGAAGTTCATTGTGAATAGAGTATGAATGATACTTCCCTGGAGTTGGGCAAACATGTTGGATTATGCATCATTATTTTCTTGTGGCACTCTTTCTGAACTTATCAGAGCCAGTTTTCTAAAGAGAGGGAAAACATTGTTGTGCATTTTAATACAAAGTCCTCAAAGATTTTGAGAAAACCATTTCCTTTCCATTTGATGAACTGTTCCGTTCAAGAACCTCAATATATTTAAATTCTTATATTAATTTTCCTCCCTTTCAATTACAAAGTTACCTTTCCTATCATTTTAATGTGAAAATTGGAATATATGATGATAAGATGTAACAGGCTATGTTTGCAGGCCCTTTTGAGGTGAGGTGGAGGTGGGTGGGAGCATAGGAAGAGTGTAGCATTTGTTTCTCTCTCTCTCTTTTGGTTAGGCATCCCATCAAATCATCTTTGCATTTTATTTTTTTTATAATCATTTGTACCACCAATTTTATATATATTTTTTTCAATTTGAAATATTAAAACATCATTTTAAATAGTGCTGTGTTAATACCAGATTTGACTATAGTTTCCAGTTGCTATTTAATGGTTTACTTATTGTAACCGCCAATCTTTTCTTTTGTACTTGAAAAGTACAAACATATGACCTTTCCAGACCCAGGAAAGAACCTCCCTAAATGGAGTACATGGGTTCTGCAACTGTGGAAAATGTGGCAAGTGCAGATTTGGTGGCCTCTGATCACCAGTGTCTGGCAACCATATTCTCTTCTCACAGGATGGGCTGGGAATATGTCCAGGCAGTACACTTAAGTGAATCCAACAGTTGAACCTATCATGGAAGGGTGCCATGCAAAGAGGCATCTGGAGAAGAGAAGACCGCTAGTATGATTCCCTGAAGAAACAGTGTTTAGATGGGGTAGGAGAGTTGTGGATTTATGGACAGAGAAAGAGGTATAGAAACAAAAGTAAGCCAGTTATTTCTACATGGGACAGTAGGGCAGCTTTCATGGAGAAAGGACTATCTGAACAGTTATATAGCTATAAATTAAAAATATTATAGATTGGAGGAAATTTCATTAACAAAAGTGCAGCCATCTAAGGGTATAGCTTATTTGTAGATACATTCAATTTAGGTTAGTAATGTGAATTTGTGTAATAACACATAATGCCTCTGACTGTTAGTTTTTAATCATTAAATGAGGGGCAGTGATACTAACTTAATATGAACACTTTGAGGATCAGATATGATCTTGAAGGGCTTAGAGAAGTAACTGCCATTCAGTACCACATTCAGCAGTTGGAGTTATCATGCTAAGGAAGGCAGCAATGCTGCTAATCTGAACACAACCAGCCTTGAGATGCAGCTGTAATTTCCCCTTTCTCTAGATAAGTGGAAACTGACCCAAGCTTGTTGCCAGATAGATTGTTCCCTGCACTAGAAAGAGCAGAGAATCCAATGATCTTATTGGAGAGGAAATTACATCAGCATTATGTGGAATGTGTAGCAGAATAGTCAATGGAGAGAGAAACTAGAAAGAAAGCAATAAAAAGTCAAAGGGAATAAAGTCTTTGAAATTGTGTCTAGAATGGAATTGTGTCTATAAGTTAACAAACCTGAGAGAGATTTTTTTAGGAGTCTATAGCTTTGGGTTGTTTAAGAAGGAATGTGTTATGTCACTTCATGTGTACAGAGGTCAATGATGGTTCTTTCTCTCATCTTTTAATCTGTGATTGCCATTCTGAGTAACAGCAGGAGCTGGAGATTAATAGATGTATGAAGATGCACATTCTGATTGGTGGCTTAGATGATATTCAAAGTCAAGTAAGAATCTGAAAGTATCCATAGATGGGTAGATACAACTAGTAGAAGTTGGACCATTTTGGACATCCCCAAAACAAAATAATACATTTAAAGAAAGAACATATAACAGATATCCCATCATCCAAGTCAGGGAATTACCAGCTAAGAAATGGCAAGTTTAGAGCTATGGGCAAGAGTCAACAATAGAACTCAGCCCTTACCAGGGTTCAGTTGGTTTGACCACTGAAATAGTTCCTTAAATTACCATCTTCTCAGTTTCCACTGTTTGTTCATCATTAGATGTGGTATGGTTCTCATATAGCTGGAGGAGCACTAAGTTAGAAGAATCAATCAGGGTATAGTAGGTATTGAAAGATGTACCAGGGATCTTTGCATCTTTTGCTTATAAAAGCAAAATGGAAATTGCTGAGAATGATGGAGGTTCCGTAAAAGAGAGGGAAACTTGTGGTTCATTTTTGGAAAACAGGAACTACAGCCATACCAGAGACTTAGCAGCAGCTATATTGAAGTTCATGTGGTCTGCATGCCTCCACTCTGTTCTCCTCACATTAATCATGATATCGTACATTCAACATTTAAAAACTTTAGAGAGCCTCAGACTGATCTGGACTCTGACCATAATTGGTTTCTGTCCTGAGCAGTGTCATGAAGATATGACCCCTTCAACTTCCTTTGTGGGAGGTAGTCACTGTTTCCTAAAACAATGTGCAATGTGAGGAGGTCTCCTAAACAGAGACTGGGTACTGATTAGTTAGGAAAGGTATTGGATATAAGACAGATGTCTTCCCAGGAGACACCGAAGCAAAGAAGTAGAGAGACAAGAGCGGTAACAAAAAAAGGCAAAGGAATAGAGAAAAAAGGTAAGCTTCTGGAGAACAAATTCCAATACTGGTGACTAATTGCTATTTTGGGGGTGAATTCAAGGAGAAGGTAGAAACTGAACTGGTCCATGGAAGTCAAGAGAGAAAGAAAAGAACATGGTAGAGAGCAGGACAAGTGTGAGGAGAAACACACTCTCCTGAGAATCCCTGCCTTGGTTGTAAGCATGGTATTATTCCTGGAGGGTTGGGTGGGTTGGGCTGCTTGCTTCATGGCCTTTCTGATGAAAGAAATAATGGTGTGCTGCTGTATAACTTTAAGATGACTTTTATGAAGAACTATTTGCAAAGCATATGCTTAGGCACCTCAAGAAACCTATGGTCATTCCTCCTCACAGTTCACTTCTGCTACAGATCTCTTAGAAAACAGCTTGTGTATACCAAGATGAGGAATTGTTTGTAATATTAAACCTTAAGCAAGTTAAGGCTTAGCAGGAAGTGAGTGATCTTATTTGAGGAATGTAGATGTGTAAGAATTTTGGCTTGGGATTTAGGATCAAACTCTCTCACCTAAGCTGTGGGAGCCCATGAAATCTTTCCAATGAAAATTATTTCAGTCAAGACTTTTGCCAAATAGTTTGTATAAAATAAAATAAAAACCTATTTAAGTAATTTCTCAAAAATAATTGCAAGTATCATTTGGTTATGCTCCAAACTATATGCTAGTATTTACTTATTTTACTCTCCACCATGCTTTTCATAAATAATTCAGATTATAGTGAAATAAGAAAATACTGATATTATTTTGTTTGGTTTTCTTATAAGTTAAAACTCGGTGTTTTCATCATGCAAACCTGCTATCATTTCCAAATGGTGACTGTTATACATGTACTTTAATATTCTTCATATGTCATTTAATGTTGTTCATATGTTAAAACTGAAGTGACTATTTTGTCTTTGTAACACTAGGATAATTTAAAGGGAATGTTTTTGAAACATCATTCTATTTCATGGTAAAGTAGGCCAAATAAAATATTTTTGTTCATTTGGGCAGCATGTCAACAGCCATGTAGCTCAAGCAGTAAGCAGAATTCTCTTCACATTCTGAAGAAGTTCAGACAGAGGCAGCATACAAGGTGGACTCTTGAAAACGTCATTATTAAAATTGATATTAAGAGTTAGGTTCACAGATGGGGGATTAAATAGAACAAAACACCCCTGAATTTCAGTACTTCTCTCTTTCCCATTCCACATCCAGTTAGTTGCCCTTTTTTTTTTTTTTTTTTGGTGTGTACTCAGAGTCTCTCCTTTCTACTACGACCATGGGGAGTTAAATCCTTGGAGCCTTAACTTATTGTTTTTTGGAAAGAGGTCTTGGCCTTAGTCCCTCAGCATACATCATTCCCAGTTATGCCACCCTATTCCTCTGCTCCGTTTCAACCCTTTGTTCCCCATTAGATATAATACACAAGAAGAGCCTTGGTTAGGAACAAGTTGCCACTTTAAGTTGGTTGGACAATATTTCTTTTAACTTCCTGTTTGCTTGAGCAATGACTTCCATGAGTTAAGAGAGTTGTTAAATATCAGTGACAACTGGGAGAAAGCAAAGAAATTATTTGCCCACTTATTTACTCCCCTATTTTACCTGTCCTTTCATACCCAACTGCTTTTGCTTCCAACACAAAAACAGTGATACAACCAACTGATTTTACTGATCACTGACTTTATGTTGGATTCATTTTCAAATGGATCTGAATTCATAAACTTCCACCTAGGAACAATGGCTTGAGCTATATTTTGTAGTTTTTAAAAGCAGCCTTCTTTGTCATTTAACAGAGATTTTTTGGAGAGCTATTTATTTTATATAAATGTGCTTTATCTTTGTAGATCAACTAAAAGTCACTACGAATTATATAGTTTACTATAAAGATACAAAGTTATTCACAGACTTATCTTGATGATGCTTAAATCTGGATTTAAATGTTGACATATTTGAAAATATTTTCAGTATTGTTACAGTGTGTTTGTTGTATTTTGGAGGGGAAAAAAAAGAAAAAAAAACCTGATGAAGCAACAGTACATTATAGTCAAGAACATAATCCTTTAACGGGATTACCAGTGCTCATTCCTGACTCCACAAATTAGTAGCTCTATGACCATGAATAAGATAGCTAGCATTTCTGATTCTGGATGTTCTCAACTATAAAATGTGGATAATCCTTATCAGATTATAGCACATAACAGACCCAAATAGTGTCTTTAGATTTTATAGAAGTATATTAAATGTATATTTGAATTTTTCTGTTATGAGAGGTTATTCAGAATGGCAGATATCTTCAGTGTAATCAGAAATTCCAAATGCAGTGCAAGATGTGATCGTGTGCCTCATTCAGTCCTTGCTCACGTCATTGCTGAGCGTGGTCAGGAGATAAAGCCACTGGGACCACAATTCTGTGACAAACTCTCTTGTGTGATCTTGGCCAAGTTTCTTAAGCTCTCTGCACCCCTGTTGTTTCATCTATAAAAATACTAACTTGGATTACATGATTGCTAAGGAGTCTTTCAGCTCTAAAAGTCTATGAATCTGTCCCTATACTTGGACTTAATGTGTTTTGCACATGGACCACTCTTGAAAGCATCTAGCTTTTTTTTTTTCTCTTTTTTTCAACAAAGACTTTTTCAGGTGTTTCCTCCTCCTCCTTTCTACCCCACCCCTTTCCTCCTCCTTCCTTCTATTATGTAGAATTTGTAGAGATTCCAGGAAACCACTGCTTTCATGTTGGAAAAATAATAGGATTTCCATTTCTAAAATATGGTAATTGAGGTTCCAAAAGATTAACTTCTTTGAGTAGGTTAAGACCAAACACAACAAAGTGAAAAGCAAAAGCTTAAATTGGCCTCCAGTTTGAACTCATTATCCTTCATTCCCTAGATTCTAAGATTCATTCCTTCTCCTGCTTTCACTAGCTTCATGCATGGTATCTCTTTCTACTTCTTCCCCAGCCAGAATTCTAGAAGCCATCACAGAAGAGTGCCCTCTCTCCTATTTCATCCCCAGTCATGAATCTTCTTCTTAATTAACATAACTAATAACTCATTCTTTCCATTCCAGTCCCATTTCTATGATCTTAGTTCAGGTTCTAATCATTTTTTTTTTTTGCTTATATTATTCCAACTAACCTTTTTTCTCATTTAGATCTCAGATCCCATCAATAAATTCTCCACTTCTCTGCCAGAGTAGGATATCCTGAAATTATGTACATTTTCTTACCAAATCTCCACTGATTGCCTTCTGTCTGCTTTACTTGATTTATTGATGCTTAGCCCTCCTCTTCCTGTCCCCTAACCCTCCTTGCTGGCACCTGCTGTCTGGCTTTCTCCTCCTGTTCCCACTATCTAGAATAGCTTTCTTTTTTTAATTTTTATTTATTTATTTTTTTAGTCATACATGACAGTAGAATGCATTTTGATATATAATACATACATGGAATGTACATACATCAATCATATTTTCTGTTCTATTCTGCTGCCCTTCCTATCCTCCCTACTCCTCCCCTCCTCTCCCATCCTTTCTCTCTATCCAATCTAATGTGAAACACTTTTTTTTCTTTTTCTCATTACAACATCATATATGTATTCTGTATAATGATGAGGTTCTCCTTCCATCTTCTGTGCAACTCCCCTTCTCCCTCTTTTTTCCTCCCACCTCTCTTCCCTATTTAGTGGTAGTCTTCTTCTCATGCTCTTCCTCCCTATCCCATTTTGAGTCACCCCCCCCCCTTATATCAGAGAAGACATTCAGCATTTGTTTTTTAGGGATTTGCTAACTTCACTTAGCATAATCTGCTCTAATGCCATCCATTTGCCTGCAAATGCCATGATTTTATTATTTTTTAGTGCTGAGTAATATTCCATTGTGTATAAATGCCACGTTGTTTTAATCCATTCATCTATTGAAGGGCATCTATGTTGGTTCCACATTCTAGCTATAGTGAATTGTGCTGCTATAAACATTGATGTGGCTGTGTCCCTGTAGTATGCTCTTCTTAGGTCTTTTGGGTATAGTCCAAGAAGGGGAATAGCTGGGTCAAATGGTGGTTCCATTCCCAGCTTTCCAAGGAATCTCCATACTGCTTTCCAAATTGGCTGCACCAATTTGCAGCCCACCAGCAATGTACAAGTGTGAGCTTTTTCCCCACATCCTCCCAGCACTTGTTGTTTGACTTCATAATGGCTGCCATTCTTATTGGAGTGAGATGGTATCTTAGGGTGGTTTTAATTTGCATTTCTCTGATTGCTAGAGATGGTGAGCATTTTTTCATGTATTTGTTGATTGATTGTATATCCTCTTCTGAGAAGTGTCTGTTCAAGTCCTTGGCCCATTTGTTGATTGGGTTATTTGCTTTTTTGTTGTTTAACTTTTTGAGTTCTTTGTATACTCTAGAGATTAGAGCTCTGTCTGATGTTTGAGGGGTAAAAATTTGTTCCCAGGGTGTAGGCTCCCTATTTACCTCTCTTATTATTTCTCTTGCTGAGAAAAAAACTTTTTAGTTTGAATTCGTCCCATTTGTTGATTCTTGGTTTTAACTCTTGTGCTATAGGTGTCTTATTAAGAAATTTGGGGCCTGCCCCCAAGTAATGAAGATTAGGACCAACTTTATATTCTATCAGACGCAGAGTCTCTGGTCTGATTCCTAGCTCCTTGATCCATTAGAATAGCTTTCTTTACCTCAGATGCCCTTTGTCTGCTAGGTAAGTACTTGCTAACCATGCAGCGCTCAGCAAGTCTGTGTTCAACAGATTCCGTCCCTGTGGGGCTTATCTTATGGTTACAGGGATGGGGTCTTCCAAGAAACTGAGACTGTTAGGGGTTACACAGATGAAGATGGTGGCAACAGGAGGTTAAGAGAATAATTCTATAAAATGGGCCCACTCTGCTGACTCTCACATGCTGTCTTTTCCAAGAAACAGTTTACCTGCAGCTCTGCCTGGCTTAGGTGGATAGGAAGTCACATTCCTCAGCAAACTGCCTGCTATCTGTA